TGTATATTAAAATAATTATAATTTAACTTATTCTATTCTTAAAGTATTTGTTATTGCTTCAAAGTATGTATGAACATATGAATATATAAACAAAAACATGAAAAAATAAATTGGGTAGCCAAACAAAAAATTGGTGGCCATTGATACAATTGTTTGGAAAAATAAACGGAAATAGTAATGAATCAAATGAAATTATATGGAAAATTAGCTAACAAGCCAATATTGTTCTACATCAAACATAGTAGTATAAAAAAGGACATTAGCGATAACAATTACACGGAACTCGAAAATAACACTTATGAAGGATGGTAGGAAACAAAAAAAATTGACAAGAATGTTCGATGCGGAAAGTGGAATGCAGACAGGAGCATTTCGAAAAGCTTTGTTACGACAAGCGAATGGAAAGAGAAGAACGGAAAATGCGAAGAAATGAAGGACCACTGGAAGTGTAGGCAAACATTAAATGAAATAAGTGAGAAGTGATAATTAAAAAGTGGAACAGTCGGAGCGTAATGATCGGACCCAACCCCAGGATTGTGATGTCAAAGTCACGAAAATTCAAAACAAAAAGATTCATGTCGAAATATTCGTGAAATTTCAAAATAAGCAACAATTACTCAAATTAGAAACCTGCACTAATTCAAAGTAATGTTGAAGCGACATTAAATAGAGAAAAAAACCTTTGAAACTGAATGATCAGAGAACAAAGTTACATAGCAAGGTTTCCACGTAGAAAAAAAGATTCTGATGAAGAAGCAAATCAAAGAAATAATGACTTACCTTGGTCCGTCCAAATGGGTTTGCAATTCACAAAAGGGTTAATTCCCAGTTAAATTAATTAATGTCCGGATCGTCACGGATTACAATTATTACAAGCGTACCGCGCCTGCGAGACACAGAAACTTCTTTTCCACAATTCGTCCAAGATGGCGAATGCGCGACTTTCGGCTCTTCTTCCGCGATCAATACAATTACGTCATGCAACCAAAGAGAGCCGTTTGCACAGACGCGCCACTCGTCTGGATTTTCTTGTCACTCCTTTACGATAACTTTCACAATTAAGTTCTTTTCCCTTTTATTATGTAAAATGTAGTTCTATTCTCAATTTAAACAACTTTAAATTCGCTCTTTACAAGTTAAACCTACGCCACGGTATCCGATATTCTTTTTTACCTAACCGTTACTTGTAACGAGAAACGAGCGGAACATTCAGCAGAAATAAGTGGCGCTGCTTTGATGATTCCTTACCGCTTTGAACCAAAGTCAAATTGGATACAAATACTTGGATATCCTTCGTAAATTATGTTCTGTACAGTTTACAAATAATTCAAATATGTTCTATTTTTTCTTCCTAGTTATATATACACATTTCTTAATTTTTTTATCAATTTACTATTCATTTAAAATTAGTATGTTAGTAAAAGTTTGATTTCATTTGGAAGTAAATTCATACACTTGATTTCGTTGGTAATTCTATAAAATTCAACATGGCCGTCCCTACGTACGTATATACATGTGAATTCGGTTTTTTCATCAATGCATAATAGATAGCGAAAAATGTGAATGATATTAACAATAACAAGCGATGTTTCTTGACTTCTACAAAACAGTGGACAATACTTTTGAAAATGGTGGGTAGATGAATATTACTTCTGCCTACTTTGTTGAGACCGTAGATATAGGTTTTGCATTGTTTTGACACATAATATAAAACATAATCAATTGTAGAGCGTGACTTTACATACTGACGTTGGTGACATAAAGATAGAATTATTTTGCGAGTTGTGCCCAAAAACTTGTGAGGTAAGATTTTTATATTTTGGTTGGCACTTGCTTTAGTAATAATTACTTTTCTTTTTTTTTTTTGCAGAACTTTCTTGCCTTGTCTGCTAGTAACTACTATGACAACTGCTTATTTCATAGAAACATAAAGGGTTTTATTGTGCAAACTGGAGATCCTACACAAACTGGTAAAGGTGGAATATCGATATGGGACCGTAAATTTGAAGATGAATTTAAAGAAGAATTAAAACATAATGCAAGAGGACTTGTTTCTATGGCTAATAATGGCCCAAATACAAATGGAAGCCAATTTTTTATCACGTATGGTCCTCAACCACACTTAGATCTTAAATATACTTTATTTGGAAAGTAAATATACTCATTCTCTGATCTATAAACTTATCATATTTCAATTGTACTTAACAAATTTTTGCTTTTATTTTTAGAGTGATAGATGGTTTAGAAACCCTCGAGCAGATAGAGAAATTACCTGTAAATCCTAAAAATTATAGGCCACTTACAGAAACTCGAATAAACAGTGTAACTATACATGCTAATCCTTTGGCAGGATAAATATAAATGTATAGAAGATAGCAATTAAGGGTGTTTGTTTCTCAAGGTCTTTTTTTTTTAGAACTTGATAATTATATTTATTTTCATATGTTTCTTACAATCGTTTTGCTCATATCTGATCAGATGAAGTTGGACGGTAAAGATCTAACGCGTATCGTTTCCCCATTGCTTCAATCTCATAGTTACCATTTTCTACAAATTCTTTTGTCACAGATCCTCCGTTCGGGTGCTGGATGTACCTAACATTAAATAATGTTAACTGTAATTTCATTTGATATCATTACTTTACTTACCCATGACCAATGGTATTTCCACAGCTGTATCCCTGTTCTGCCCTTCGTAAATAACCAACAAGACAATTATTTCTATAAATAGCTTCTAAACCCCATAATGGAACGGTACCACTATTGCAATATACAGTATTAGTATTATTTTTCAAGTTGAGTATAAACATTAACAATATCCTACGATACATACCCATTTAGATGAACGCGTACCAGTTTCTTTTTAACTCCAATTTTTCGCAACCGATCGACTGCCATTTTTCCTAAATATTTTCCAGTATTGCGACAAATAAATCCTAATCCCGCTTCGACGGGATTATCATCGGTTCTAAGATCTGAACCCCAAAGTAGATTGCCTGAAAGATATAGTCACGATGGCAGCATACGTTTAAAAATGACAAAAACCGATTATTTACATACCCTTTTCGCAACTAAGGCTATGCAGTGCTCGATATCCAGCAAACTTCATATGGTACGATTTAGCACAATCTATCAAAGCTGTATAAACTAGTTGACAAGATGATTTTGAAATATGTAACTCGAAACCAAGTTCACCAATGAAACTGAGCCTAATTAAGCGCACCACTTCGTTTTCAATTTTCACTAGTTTTGTGGTTGAATATTTGAAAGATTCATCGGAGATTTCCTCTTTTATCAATAGTTCCACTATTTTTCGGCTATATGGTAATACATTTTTTATCATCTCAAGATGTAATGCTAAATGTGGCAAGAGTACATAGTGCAATACCTATTAGGTCCTTGTACAGATAGAATACCAATTTGTTCGGTGATGTCGTGTAAAGATACATCAAAGCTGTTCTCTGCTATTACCTTGTTGATATGAGCCCAAGTATGATATGCTGATACGCCGCTTGAAACTAACAACAAATGTAAGAAATTACCTATTCATGTTACAATATTGACCAATATTGAAACGTACCAATATAGAATGCTCTTTCTTTAAATATGAGATTTACAATTTCACTTGTGCCAGGTTCCATGACTGTAACTGTACAGTCTGTTTCTACGCCTCCGGCATGATTCAACATGCAAGTGTAAATTGTTTTATTAATACCGCGGTTCGTGTTTGCCGTGAACAAATAATTTGCCGTTTCTTGAGCGTCTGGCCCACAAAGATAGAATTTTCCGAGATGAGACATATTGAATAAAGCAACATTTTTACGACAAGCAATAGCTTCTTCTCGTATCTACCGGAAGTGTAAAAATTGTTTAATATCGATACTTGGTCCTTTTCTTTTCTTTCTTTCTTTCCTTTTTATGTATTTGACTTTATAAACACCTACTATGTTATGATACGGTGAAAAATTAAAATTATATTCTCTTTCTAGAATTGCACGATATATGTCATTCCGTTTTTTTCTTGTTCCGCAACATTCACCATAACTGTATGGCATAATTTCAACATTTTTCGTGGAAGAAAACCATCCAGGTCGCTCCCAGCCCTGGCGTTCTTCCATGATAGCACCCTCTTTAACAAGCAACTATCCATCATGTACTCATTAAATATTGATCTTAATAGAAAACCCTATTATATAATTATACTACTCTTACATTGTGAAAAGGATCTGTTTTAAGATTTCTACCACATAGTGGTTCATCATGTGGAAATATAATGGTGTAATTTTTTGCATAGGCTTCGTAAGATCTATCATTTGCCCAAATAAAATTATTTCTTTGTTCCGGTAGAAATCTGCGAGTCGACAAATAGATATAATATTAGTAGTATCACTGACGGAATAGAATTGAAAAAAAGAAAAAAAAGTAACAAAAAAAAGGAAAGATTACCTTCTAATGTCATAGTTGAACATGTATTTATCTGGCCGACCATTGATTATCCAATGGGCAATTTGTTCTCCGCATCCACCTCCTAACATCATTCCTGCACTATTATAACCACAAGAATAGAACAATCCGGAACAACGAGGATCTTCTCCTTTTGAATGAGGTAAAAGTTAAAGCGAGAATACGAGAATGCCAGAAAATATTTTTAAATACTTACCCATAATCGGTCTATGATCTGGAGTGAAACTTTCCGGTCCGCATATCGTTGTTCTTATTCCAGTTGTTGATAACTTAGGAATTAACTGAATCATTGATTCTAAATGTGCATTGAAGATATTCCAATCTAATTCATAGAGACTAAATGAAAAATGTTCGGGAACCTTGTATAGAAACATCAAATTCATTAGTGAAGCTGTTCCTTTGCCCGAACTACATTCTTGTAAATTTAAAATTAAGGAATAATGTAGACTCACAGATGGTATCACGATAGGATTTGGTTCGTAACCACCTATAGCTATGGAACTACCCTGTATCCGAAAATACAGACTGATATCAGGGTCTCTAATATTTGGAAGACCCTGTATTCCTTCTATAGGTTCTGTAACAACATAAGCATGTTTGATCGGTGTTAGAGGTATGTTCACGTCTACCATGTTTGCTACATTTTTTGACCAAACTCCAGCAGCATTGAGAACAACATCTGTTTTTATAATTCCATATGGTGTCTCTACACCATAAATCATTTTATTGTTTTTAATAGTTTCTTTTGTGAGTATCTTTATAACAGGACAAGCTTCAATGATCTAAATAATTGTAATAGCTTCATATCATCTTTTACCAAGTATTATTATTCATTTGTAAAAAAACATTAAATAATTTTTACCTGACAACCATTACTTTTTGCTGATTTCGTCAAAGCATTTATTAACATAGTCGGATCAATAACCCCATCTTCTGAAGAGTAAATAGCTCCTCGAATACCGTTTTCATTCAGTAAAGGAAATAATTCCTTTGCTTCTTGGGGAGAAATTAGATGTGCTTGAATACCAAAAGCTTTTGAACCAGTGATCATCCTTCTGTATTCATCTAATCGTTCCTATAAAATATAGCAACCAATAGCGATAATGATGATGATGATGATGTGATGATGATAATGATGAAGAAGAAGACAAATTCACATTGGAACGTGCAATGTAAAGTCCGCCGTTCTTTATCCATCCTGGATTTATCCCAGTTTCTTTTTCCAAAGTGTTAAGAATGTATCTTGTAGCATTCAACAATTCCATTTCAATGTCACTTGGACCACGAATACTCCACATAAGTCCAGCAGTATGCCATGTTGTACCAGATGTTAGTTTTGACTTATCTAATAATACGGCGTTAACACCATATTTTCCTAAGCGATAGAGAGCATTACAACCGGCGCTACCTCCACCTGAAAATGATAGACGGTACGATGATTTTTGTACATTAAGTGATCAAGGGTGATATCTAGTGGGGTCCTGTATTTACCTACTATTACAACATCTGCATGATCTGGTAGTTGTATGGTGGATGTTAAATTCACTGCTCTTGTTGTTACCGATCTTATACAATTAACACGCACATTATACAACTGAAAATAATTGATTGGAAGCCTAATAAATCTTATATGAACTAAAAGAAATACTTGGAAATACCTTGTGTTTTATTAAACGAAACATGTTTTTTATACGAAGAGAGGTAATATAAGTTTACAATGTCCTAACGTTACGCTTGATATAGTTGAACTGTTCTGTCCATACTTAGTCGTTTCAATGTCCCCGTTTTTCAATCCACACTATCGAACATACTCGGTAATCTACTATATAGTTTAACGATGTTTTTCTTGTATTCTATATTTAGAGAACATTCAAAAAGTAATATACTTGAAATGTTGTTGTTCACGAATTGATATGAAAATAAAAAGTACCCTCGTTATCTTGCATCTTTGCTCTATAATTGAAAAAGTATTATCATATAGAAAGAATGAAACTTTTTCTTGTATCTTTCATTGGCAATAATTACACAGATAAATTTTTTTATTTTGTTTCTTCTCTTACAATGTATCATTAAACAAACATAATAGAAATTGTTTATGATTAACTTGTTTTGCATAAAATGAGAATTTTTTCGTTTTTAATTTTAATATGAACTATGGTGTGAAATTTAATGAAATTTCGCTCGTACAAAGTTAAATATGTATTTAACGATACGATACCATCGATTCGCATTCTTTCCACAATATTCCGTAATTACGAAATACGTGTAAAAGCGAACGCTACTCATAAATATCGTTTAGCGAAAAATAAACGCTTTAGCTGTCAGAATGTGTGCAGCGTACGTATGTACGTTTGCACACGTGATTCCTATTTACGTATGCGCACGATAGCAGTTAGTTCATAAATTTTATTTGCTTGTTTTCACAGAGAGACAATCATAAAAAGCGAATAAAAACCCATCCAACTGTGTCACTCGGATCTACGCTGTACATGCACGCGCGTATATACATGTTTATATGCACATGAATAAATATATACAGAGTCTTTATCTATTAAAGAAACATTTAAGTATAAATATAGAATAAGAAAGAAA